CTAGTGTATAGGAATGCAAGAGATTTCTGTGCATTAATTTTGTATCCTGATACTTTACCAAAGTCATTGATTAGCTCCAGTAGTTTTCTGGTAGCATCTTTAGGATTCTCTATGTATAGTATCATGCCATCTGCAAACAGTGACAGTTTTACTTCTTTTCTCATTTGGATTCCTTTTATTTCTTTTTCTTCTCTGATTGCTGTGGCTAAAACTTCCAAAACTATGTTGAATAATAGTGGTGAGAGTGGGCAACCTTGTCTTGTCCCTGATCTTAGTGGAAATGGTTTCAGTTTTTCACACTGAGAATGATATTGGCTGTGGGTTTGTCATATATGGCCTTTATTATGTTGAGGTAAGTTCCCTCTATGCCTGCTTTCTGCAGGGTTTTTATCATAAATTGGTGTTGAATTTTGTTGAAAGCTTTTTCTGCATCTATTGAGATGATCATGTGGTTTTTCTCCTTCAGTTTGTTAATATGATGTATCACATTGATTTATGTATTTTGAAGAACCCTCGCATTTGTGGGATAAACCCCACTTGATCTTGGTGTATGATCCTTTTCATGTGCTGTTGCATTCTGTTTGCTAGTATTTTGTTGAGGACTTTTGCATCTATGTTCATCAGTGATATTGGCCTGTAGTTTTCTTTTTTTGTGACATCTTTGTCTGGTTTTGGTAACAGGGTGATGGTGGCCTCGTAGAATGAGTTTGGGAGTGTTCCTCCCTCTGCTCTATTTTGGAAGAGTTTAAGAAGGGTAGGTGTTTGCTCTTCTCTAAACGTTTGATAGAATTCGCCTGTGAAGCCATGTGTCCTGGGCTTTTGTTGGTTGGAAGATTTTAAATCACAGTTTCAATTTCAGTGCTTGTGATTGGTCTGTTTATATTTTCTATTTCTTCCTGTTTCAGTCTCAGAAGTTGTGCTTTTGTAAGATTTTGCCCATTTCTTCCAGGTGGTCCATTTTATTGGCATATAGCTGCTTGTTGTAATCTCTCATTATCCTTTGTATTTCTGCAGTGTCAGTTGCTACTTCTCCTCTTTCATTTCTAATTCTGTTGATTTGAGTCTTTTCCTTTTTTTTCTTGATGAGTCTGGCTAATGGTTTATCAATTTTGTTTATCTTCTCAAAGAACCAGCTTTTAGTTTTAGTGATCTTTGCTGTCATTTCCTTAATTTCTTTCTGATCTGATCTTTATGATTTCTTTCCTTCTGCTAACTTTGGGTTCTTTTTGCTCTTCTGTTTCTAATTGCTTTAGGTGTAAGGTTAGGTTTTTTATTTGAGATGTTTCTTGTTTCTTGAGGTAGGATTGTACTGCTATAAACTTCCCTCTTAGAACTGCTTTTGCTGCATCCCATAGGTTTGGAGTCGTCGTGTTTTCATTATCATTTATTTTAGGTATTTTTTGATTTCCTCAGTGATGTCTTGGTTATTTACTCGCATATTGTTTAGCCTCCATGTGTTTGTATTTTTTACAGTTTTTTTTCCTGTAATTGATATCTAGTCTCATAGCGCAGTGGTCGGAAAAGATACTTGATACGATTTCAATTTTCTTAAATTTACCAAGGCTTCATTTGTGACCCAAGATATCTATACAAATATATATCTAGCCCAGTGAATTTTCCATGAGCACTTGAGAAGAAGTGTATTCTGTTTTTCGATGGAATGTCCTATAAATATCAATTAAGTCCATCTTGTTTAATGTATCATTTAAAGCTTGTGTTTCCTTATTTATTTTCATTTTGGTTGAATTGTCCATTGATGAAAGTGGGATGTTAAAAGTCCCCTACTATTACTGTGTTACTTTCAATTCCCTCTTTATGGCTGTTAGCATTTGCCTTATGTATTGAGGTGCTCCTATGTTGGGTGCATAAATATTTACAATTGTTATATCTTCTTCTTGGATTGATCCCTTGATTATCATGTAGTGTCCTTCTTTGTCTCTTGTAATAGTCTTTATTTTAAAGTCTATTTTGTCTGATATGAGAATTGCTATTCAGCTTTCTTTTGATTTCCATTTGCATGGAATATCTTTTTCCATCCCTTCACTTTCAGTCTGTATGTGTCCCTGGGTCTGAACTCGGTCTCTTGTAGACAGCCTATATATGGGTCTTGTTTTTGTATACTTTCAGCCAGTCTATGTCTTTTGGTTGGAGCATTTTATCCATTTACCTTTAAGGTAGTTATCGATATGTATTTTCCTATTCCCATTTTCTTAATTGTTTTGGGTTTGTTATTGTAGGTCTTTTCCTTCTCTTGTGTATGCTGCCTAGAGAAGTCCTTTAGCATTTGTTGTAAAGCTGGTTTGGTGGTGCTGAATTCTCTTAGCTTTTGCTTGTCTGTAAAGGTTTTAACTTCTCCATCGAATCTGAACGAGATCCTTGCCGGGTAGAGTAATCTTGTAGGCTTTTCCCTTTCATCACTTTAAAGATATTCTGCCACTCCCTTCAGGCTTGCAGTTTCTGCTGAAAGATCCGCTGTTAACCTTATGGGGATTCCCTTGTATGTTATTTGTTGCTTTTCTCTTGCTGCTTTTAATATTTTTTCTTTGTATTTAATTTTTGATAGTTTGATTAATATGTGTCTTGGCATGTTTCTCCTTGGATTTATCTTGTATGAGACTCTCTGCACTTCCTGAACTTGATTGACTATTTCCTTTCCCATATGAGGGAAATTTTCAACTATAATCTCTTCAAATATTTTCTCAGTCTGTTTTTTTTTTCTCTTCTTCTGGGACCCCTATAAATTTGAATGTTGGTGCGTTTATTGTTGTCCCAGAGGTCTCTGAGACTGTCCTCAATTCTTTTAATTCTTTTTTCTTTATTCTGCTCTGTGGTAGTTATTTCCACTATTTTATCTTCCAGGTCACTTATCCGTTCTTCTGCCTCAGTTATTCTGCTATTGATTCCTTCTAGAGGGTTTTTAATTTCATTTATTGTGGTGTTTATCATTGTTTGTTTGCTCTTTAGTTCTTCTAGGTCCTTGTTAAAACGTTTCTTGCATTTTGTCTATTCTATTTCCAAGATTTTGGATCATCTTTACTATCATTACTCTGAATTCTTTTTCAGGTAGACTGCCTATTTCCTCTTCATTTGTTTGGTCTGCTGGGTTTTTACCTTGCTGCTTCATCTGCTGTGTATTTCTCTGTCTTCTCATTTTGCTTAACTTACTGTGTTTGGGGTCTCCTTTTCGCAGGCTGCGGGTTCATAGTTCCTGTTGTGTTTGGTGACTGCCCCCACTGGGTAAGGTTGGTTTAGTGGGTTTTGTACGCTTCCTGTTGGAGGGGACTGGTGCCTGTGTTCTGGTGGATGAGGCTGGATCTTGTCCTTCTGGTGGGCAGGATCGCGTCCAGTGGTGTGTTTTGGGGTGTCTTTGAACTTAATATGAGGTTAGGCAGCCTCTCTGCTAATGGGTGGGTTTGTGTTCCTGTCTTGCTTGTTGTTTGGCGTGGGGTGTCCAGCACTGGAGCTTTCTGGTCATTGAGTGGAGCTAGGTCTTAGCGTTGAGATGGAGATCTCTGAGAGAGCTCTTGCTGATTGATATTACGTGGGGCCAGGAGGATTCTGGTGGACCAGTGTCCTGAACTCGGCTCGCCCATCCCCGAGGCTCAGGCCTGACACCCGGCCGGAGCACCAAGACCCTGTCAGCCGCACGGCAGTGAATGTGGCAGTCTCCATTATGAAGTCAGGTTATGAGGGTCTACAATTGCTGTTCAGCTAGAACAGGCTGAGTTGGTTGCAGTTTGTCTACGAGGCTGTCTCCAGCAGCTGGTGGCTAAAAGAGTAGGTCTCTGCATGTGCTGCCAGAATCTTAAACGTTTATATACAGGTCTTCACTGGGTTCAGTCACGGATTCGGTACAGAGAGTCTGAAGAACACCTTACTCTCTCAAGGTTGTGTGTTTGAAACAGCTCCTAAGCCTGAGGGTCTGCAAGCTGCAGGAAGACGAGACCGCCCGGGGCAGGCTGCAAGCCGTGATTCTTGCCACGAACCCCGCTGCTGCTGTTGTGGAATCTGGCTTCCCCCACCGCGCTGCAGTGAGTTTTCAGTGAAGCTTTCTCTCTGTGCTGATGAGATTCATGCTACCTGAGTTGCCCAAAGCCATAGAGCGCGTAAATGTTGGGGTGGGGGTACAAACCCAGCAAATCTGGCTCCAAGGTCCGTGTTGTCACCCAGCGAGAGTGGGGAGGCCACGCACCTAAACATCTCACCCCCGCGAGCCACCTCCTCAAACCCACACTGCCACAGGGTAAGTCACCCGTGCCGGCACTCCTGCGCAGCCGCACGAAACCTAAACAACATTTTTACACTTGGATATCTTACTATTTCTATTTAGTTAAACTTAATCAAAAACTGAGGTTATACTTTCTCCCCTAGTTTGACTTGTTCTCCAAGTTCATGTTACCAGGGCTTGCTGCTCTTCCTCTTTTAGAGTTTTGGACCCTTTTTCTTAACCTTGTTCCGTATGCAACTGCCTATCTTTGAACTATCCATCACATCGAGACTTTCTTATTTCTCCTGCCATCACTTTAGTTTATGACCTCATCCGTAAACACCAGTCACGCCTTATATGCCACATATGCCAGCAAACCACTTACCATTTCCTGATCATGCTGTGCTCTTTTGCCTTATGCCTGTGAACATGCTGTTGCTGCCTGATGTGCTCTATTATTATATTTTTACACACATTTATTTCGTCTTCATCTATGCTTATGTCATACTTTCATGCTATTATAGAACTTACAGTGCCTTACCACTAGGCACATTAAGAGTCGATAGCATGTTTTACACATCTCTATTTCCTTTGAATCTAGACTATTAAATGTTGGTAACAGGTGTCAAAGAATTTAGGCAAGCTTAACACTGAACGGGCCTCCCAAATCTTCTTTCCCTTCATAAGCCGCATAAATAATGTTCTCATTCTGCATTCCTGACCCACACTCTTCAGTAACTCTGTACCTCCTTCTCCCACAAGTAAATCCACCATTTGTCTGTGGTTATGGCCCATCATGTTAGTCCAGCCCACTATTTGCAGTCAGGTTCTACCCTAGTTTACCTTTGACTTCAGTGTTTTCCTAAGGTATACAAAGAATTCAAACAAGCTCTTGAAATCTTTTTCACTTATCTGCTGCTTTAATGGAAGCTAAGCTCCACCTGGTGGCAGAATTTGCTTCTCTTGTTTAGACTTGAGCACATGCAGTGAGATCAATTCAGCAGGGAAACAAATTTGTACACATCTCTCTATATGCAAACATGTATATATATGTATTACATATGTGTGTGAGTGTGTGTTTTGCAGGCTTTCCTCTGTCACAAAAGTAGTGAAATATGCTTGTTATTTTACCGACATTGACGTTTGAAACATGGCATTCAGCATTTGATTATTATAAACGTCTCGTGCTGTTCAGGCTCTCAGCAATGACCAGAATGATCTTAGTGTGATAATCACAAACCAAATATTTCCTACCACCCCTGTCCCACATCAAAATTGGTTTTCGAAAGGACTTAATTTATGCTTTGGTACTAAAGGAAGTTTATTTAAAGGCCTTTATGATTCATATAAAATTATAAAAATGAAATGGAAAAATGTTTGAAAATATTAACTCAAGTCATATTTTAAAGCAGGATAGTCCAACCCTGTACTCAGTACACGAGTAAGTTCTTTCCCTCTCGCAGGCAAGCGAGCGCAGTATTATGTTTATCCTTTATGTTGAGCGACATTTTGTAGCATATAGCTTTATGAAGACTAGAAAATTAGCCAGAGTTTACACACTGGGAGCTCTGCAGCTGGATTTAACCCACAGATATGTTTTTTCATATTTCTACTAAAGTATGAAACAATTGCCTCTGTTTGAAAATTGGAAAATTTCATTATAAAAATGCAGCTAGCTAGCAATGAGGGGTCTTTTTCTCGCAAATCAAGTGATCTCAACCTGAGGAGTAAGTACCCTTTTTAGATGTGATGCACACTCTAACTTTCCATAAGCCCCACTACTCCTTAACGTATCACACTCTGCCTCCTTTTCTTTATTGCCTGTCTCCTGTAGGCACGGACATTTAGGACCACTGGCATTCATTGGTGATGCCTGAGAAATTCATATTCTGGTCGAAGGAGAAAATGAAGAAAGATGGGTCAATAAGCATCAGAAAAGTGAAAGAAACAACCCAAACAAAAGGTATAAAATTGCTTTCTCTGTAATTTTGCACAACGCCCCACTGGTGGTATAGGTGTACTTCCAATAGTTTCATATTTAAGGGAAAGGACTATCTTTCCTAACTGCTGGCTGACAAATTTTAGAGGTTTCATTTTCCTTCAAATACCAACTCCTGGACTGAGAAATATCTGAAGTTATTTATTTTCACTTTGAGAGTATTTTAGTTGTTAGGCTAAAATCTAGGCACCAACATAAATGTGTTTGCCTTCTCCACCCAATCAGTCCACCTCCTGAGCAGTGAATATGACTACTAAGCCAGTGTTGCCCAGCCTTCCTAACCTGGTCCACATCTAATGAACTTATATATTTCATGCTCCAACACGTTTTTGATTTGCATTTTGTATCTCCCTTTAAAGGGGCGCCTCTTCTATGGTTAATTAGTGACCATGTTTTGACTATCCCCACCAGCTGTAGTTGGGCAGAATAATGGCCCCTGAAAGATGTTCATATCCTAATCTCCATAACCTGTAAACATATTACATTATATGGCAGGGGGGATTAGGATTGAAGGTGAAACTAAGACTGCTTATCAACTGACCTTAAATAGATTACCCTGGATTAAATGGGTGGGTCCAATAGTGACAGTGGTCCTTAAAAGTGGAGACAGAGGCCAGGAGGAGCCTTGGAGGTGTGACTATGGAGAGTTATCAGAGTAATGCAACATTGCTGGCTTTGAACAGAAGAAGGGGCCACAAACCAAGGCATGTGGGTATCCTTTAGAAGCTGGAAAAGACAAGGAAACATCTGCCTCTAGAAATGCAGCCCTGCTGACACCTTAATTTTAGACCAGGGAGCTCTGTGTTAGAATTCCATCCTATAAAACTGCAAGGTAATAAGTTTGTGTTGTTTTAAGCCACAAGTGTGTGGTAATTTATTACAACAACAATGAAAAACTAGGATACTAGCAAAGAAGTTTCCTTTGAAGTTTGTTCTCTGACATTTTTGTTATGAAAAAGCATATGTTTTCAAGATAAAAATTGTACTAAAACATAATTTTTGGAACAATGCAAGTTTCTTCCTGCTTTCTTCTCCTCCTTTTCTTTCCCCTGTCTTGAGAATCATTGTTTTAACCCACTCCTACCCCTCCGTAGCAGAGAGAGAAGGTCACGGTTGAAGAACTGTGCTCCTACAGTGTGGAGCTGCAAATAGGAAACCTATGGTTGAAAGAGCTAACAAAAGGGAGAAGGCAGCAAAAAACAAACAAAAAACCTTACTTTTATTTTTCCCAAGATTCCTATAATCTCTGCCCCATAGAAGATTTTTTTTTTTTCCTGTTGTTTTTGGACCACAAAACTGCTGAACTATTTTGCAGCCCACTGAGAGTGATGCTGCGTAAACTTCTCCATGAGATTATGGCACAGTAAGAACCTGTTGTGGTCTGTAGGGTATCATCGACAGGCACTTATACGTACACTTAAGTAGAATTCTTAATACATTATAAAGTATCAACCTGAAAATAAAGTATCTACTGAAAACTTTTTCACATTAAGTATAAATTTTCATGATGCTATTTTCTGGAAGTTTAACAAACTCTCATTAGTTAGGGTCAGACTAATTTCACTCATCATCTTGGTATTCATGTCATTAAACATAACACATTATATATAGTAGCTGCTCAATATATGGGTGAGTGAATAAATCCAGCTTTTCAATTTATTGGCACTTTCTCTGGTTTAGCCAAAAGTAGGATATAAAGCTGTGGTTTTCTCGTCTCAGTTTTGCTCTGGGATTCTCAGAGTATAATTTCTCCAAGCTCAAGGTGGTCCTAGAATTTAAAGACAGATATTTTTCAATATGGCTTCTAAATGTTAGACAACTATGTAATTTAGTGCTTATTCAAAGAAACCAAATACCTTTCCCAGAAGGGACATTGAATCAGGAGATGTCACGTTGCCCTTCAAAAGGCAATTTCTAAGGGACTTGAAAGGGTTGAATTTTAGAGCCTACCTTCCTCCACCCCCACTCCTTTATAAGGACCTGTGAAGTTTTTTTAGTCCCTGATGCTGATTCTTACACTTTCAGTATTTATACTGAAAATCATGTGGAGATATTGTTAATTACGTTGCGTATCATGCAGCATCCCTAGACATTCAGATTGGGTAGGCCTTGGGTTGCGTCGTGGAAATTGTGTTTTGTAAAAATTGTACACATGTGCTGCAGGTGACATTGAAGGCCAGGCTGTGAGAAATGTTGCCTTAGGTTGCTTGATGTGCCTATATTTTTGTTCACTTGTACAAACATCATTGTGTGCCCATTACTCTAATCTACAAAGAAATCCACTGCTCTCCAGTTGTCCATGTCCCCATACCTCTCCTCTGCCTCCCACCAGCCCCCTCACCCAATTGTGTATTGATTGTACAAAGCCATGCTTCCCCCCACCCCAAGACCTAAGGTGGTAGATACAATTAAAATTATTATAGTAGAAAAAGTCCGGTAATTCTCCTCTGGGGTAGGTGGCGCTTTGCTTCTGAAAAGGGCTGCACTTCCTTTTCTGTGGGTTAATGGATCTGGGCTAGATAAGTATGTGTCTTGCATGTTCCTGTCTCTTTCTTTAAATATGTCTCTTCCATCCTACATCGATAGTGCCCTGTCTCCAAGGTTTCCCTCACCATGACACAGTATAAGGCCTGTCCTAAGTCTCATTGATCTCCACACCTTTCCTCACTCCTCCTTACCACCAAAACACCTCTATCAGCAGCAGATAATCAGAAAGGCAAGTTAATCTGTCAAATGGTATAAATGAGAATTTGTAAGTATTGGTGAACCCAAGCATTAAACCTGGGGCTTCATCAGTAGTGAGCATGGCTTAAGCATCTACTGAGTTGTACGTTCTGTGCTAGCGCAAAGGAGCAAAGGGCAGGAGGATTTTCTGCTCAAGGGGCGTTAATGCAATGGTGGGAATTTCAGTATGAAGCCTTCTAAATCGGGGAGATGAATTTGAGGGTATGTAAGGTAGGTATACCTTGTCCCTTTACTGAGACTAAGTGTTCAGATGTTTTTGCTTCACCCTTTGACCAGTAAGACACTTGATGTCTTTTAGGCTTCACACAGGGCTCCTCTACTAATGCAGACTGGCAAAAAATAATCAGTTCTACTAGTTCTTCCACCGCATAGAAACTAAGTTTTTTCATACAAAGTGAAAGGATCATTTTTCTTTAAATTAAAATTAACATTTATTGGGCATATTTGTCTCCATAAACTCTTTGTTATTTGGTACAACACTCAGTTTTGTATATGATGGGCAATGGTAGGTATTATATAATGGCAAATAAAGCAATGATTGTATATTTGTAATTTCATGGATTATTAATAGGGCATTCTTATTTTGTTACCCCCGCCTGAGACAATATATTTTTAAAATAGCTTCTTAATGCTACTGTTTTTCACTTGTTCAGTGGCTACGCTTAGGATGAGATATTTTATAAATTTACTTTAGGGTGGGCAAAATGGAAAAGGGTATAAACTCTTCCCAGTTTCTTCAAGAGGTCCAAAAGTGCATGATACAAAGAATGGAATTTGCTTTGATATAAACATAACTTGCTAACAATAGTTATCCCAAGATAGAAACAGTAGCTTTCTTGAGGGAGTGAAACTTAGATCAAACATGATCTGGCTGCCTTTGAGGTTCCTGTATCACAGGGACGGTTGACTAAGTAATCTGCAAAGACCCTTCCCTCTGGGGATCAGAATCCTAAAACTCAGAATGCCCTGGTGTGCGTAGGGAGGTTGCTGAACTGTCCCTTTAAAAAATGCCCACTAGAGGGAGTATAACATCATAGATATTTCCTTTCAGTTGTTGCCTTACTTCTGGTAAGCCAGCAAGAAAGCAAGATTCAAGTGCAAATACCTAGAATTTATTTCATACTTTTAAAAATGTTTTTCTCATTAAAATCTTATGGACTATTTTGATAAGTGAAGAAAATTTTCTTCTAAAAAATTAGTGTAGCATATGGTATGTAACATTAATATTTTTTGTATTATGTAAAGAACTCAGAATTTAAATGACTGGTGGAAATAGAATCCAGATCACTTATTCGTGGTTATCAGTGTAAAACATCTTGGTTCTACATGGAGTATGTTTCACCCAATTTTTTTAGGTCTGTTGTTACTATTGTTTTATTTGCTGTGGATATAATTCCATAATTTCCCTGTATGTTATAGCTTTCCCAGACATTTAAGATAAACTATTCCACTGGACAACTTGTTTGATTACATAGTATCAAAATCAAATGTTTCATTCATAAATTTTTAAAACAACCTGCCAGTCTGTCTTAGGAAAATTAAAAATGGGTATTTTTCAGAGATAAAAGCACATTCATTCTCTTTCTATTGTGGGTGGTTCTGCATTTAACTCTATTTTTTCCATTAAATTTTTTTTTTTTCCCATAATTTTGACATTAAGTCTCCAAGTTCTGTTTTGGATTGGACTTTTTATATTTGAATATTTGGAGAAAAAAGTTTTAAAATATTATAATTTATTTTGAAGCACCGACCATTAAAAACATCAAAAGTTCAAAAGCAAAATATTTATGAAAAATTGAGGTATTAGCCTTTTATTGGTAAAATGTATTTTAAGCTAGAATTTACATAATCTTCATCAAGCAGAAGGAAGCACATATATATTATTTCAAATAGATTTTAACTTCTTAGCATCTTAACTATTTGAAGTACATTTCTAACAGATCTTTTTTTTCCTTACCTTACTGTCAGCATCACTGGCCACAAAATAAACTTCCCTAACTTCTCTAGTTCACTGAAAATTGTTGCTTCTATTTAAATTGAGAATTTTCTTTTTCTTTTCCATTGCAATTTAAAAAAAAAACCCAAAACCTACAGCTTGGCAAGTGATGTGTCAATGTGGAAACAGTAAGTTACTTTGATTGTGCATTGCCTTCTAATAAGTGATTTGGGGTAGGGGTAACTTCTTGTTATGCTCATTGGTTTCTTTCTTCCATCTGCTT